AAAAAAAAAAAAACAAAAACAAACAAACAAACAAAAAAAGAGTGGCCAGAGGGTGGGAAAGGAGAAGTAGCAGTCCCAAGGACCAGACCCCACCCCTACCCCAGCCAGAATCTTTTAATTCCTTGTGAGGTTAAGGAGCAACCTTAGGTCTTCTGGCATGTGCCAGACTCCTAAGGAGCCCCTAAACGCAAGGACCCTTCACCTTCCTTGCCAGGTCAGGTGCTATACTAGGCATTTTTTAGATGGAGATGACTTATTGTTCCTGTTCTACAAAGAAATTGAGATCCTGGTGCGGTGACACAGGCCGTAATCCTAGCTACTCAGGAGGTTGAGGCAGGAAGATTGCAAGGTCAAGGCCAGCCTGGGCATTTTAGAAAGACCCTATCTCAAAGTAAAATATAAAAAGGGGTGGGGATATAGCTCAATGATACCATCCGTCCCTAGGTCAATCTCCAGTACTGGGAAAATTTTTAAAAAATACAGGGGTCCATGCAACAAATGTTGAATACTTAAATGCTTTAATGCACACTAATAGCTTATTAAATAAAATATGTTCTATTTTCCTGTCAACAAATATATCTTCAGTATAATCTGAAAGGCCAAATTTAAATTTAGAATTCTTGGGTTCCTTGGTAATGAATTAGTCCTTGCCTGCAGCGGCCCCACTCATTCCCTGACCAGCTCTGGCACTATCCATATCTGCCAAACAGGCCCCACTGAGGCTTTAGTTAAACATAGGGGTGGCATCCGACTGTGTGGCTCATTTCAGGAGGATATACCCTGGAAGAGGGCTGTACAGTCACTGGACATAGGCTTGAGGCCTTCTGGGCAAGAAATTCCAGAGTGTGGTCTAGAATGGAGCACCTGGCTCCTAGTGGGCTGCTCCTGGTGGCCCCAGAGATTTGTCTTGGTTACTTTTCTCTCACTGCTGGGACAAAATACCTGACAACCAATTAAAGAGGGAAAGGTTTATTTAGCTCACAGTTTGTAGAGGTTTCAGTCTACACTCCAAAGCAGAGTGACACAAGGCAGAGGGCAACAGTTCATGGTTGTGATGGGAGACAACAAAAGCAACAAGAGCAACAAGCGAGGAGAGCAAGAGCAAGGCTCTTTCCCTCCCTTATATTGTATGCAGGCTGTCCACCCCAGGGTGGGTGTAGCACTCACAGCCGCAATCCTAGCATTGGACCATGAATCAATCACAAATTCTAGAAGCCCATCCCATGATTGCAAGAGGCTTTGTGGGGACGTCTAGACACAAACCATGACATGATTCTTCACCCCACAGGGTGGAATATGGAAGGAGCAGAGCCAGATGAAGTTAGAACCCAGGAGGGGTGCAGAAGCCACAGATCAGATATTGCCCACCAGTGACCTGAGACAAATTCTGGACATTCACTTGCCTTGTCTATCAGACAGACCATCAGCTGTACCTGCAGCCCAGGGCAGATGGGAAGGTCCACATGAAAATAAAGATGTGTGCCTGCCTGGGGTCCCCCCAACCTGCAGATGAGGGCAGTACAAAAGATGAGGATGGATGGGGGGCTCAGGCAGCCCTCCAAGAAGTCGGGCTTCTGAGGATGATCCTGGGAGGAGAGGCCGCTGAGCCAGCACAATTGCTGAGGCTGAGCTTGGAGTAGCGCTAGCAGCATCTCCACTGCAGCCCCAGCTGGCCTTCTTCCCGGATGCACGGCCGCCACCGGCCAGCCTGCAGCCCTGCCTCTGCCTGCTAGCCGCCTAGGGCCTGCTCAGGTGCTTCCTGGGGCCCCTCCCAACCCCCTGGAGCCTTGGAGACCAGCCCCTCAGGTGTAAAGGAAGATGGTGAATGTGCCTTCTCCATAGGCTGCTGCAAGCATGCAGCATCTGTTAGCTATGTGGTTCTTATCGTTCTTGTAGATGCCACCTCTATCAAGTGCTGGGTTCATGCCTGATACATTAAAGAGGCTCAACACCGATGTGTTCCTGATTACTTCTTGCCCAGCACAGATGCTGTAGTTGCTCATACTGGTCAGTGGCCCCAGTTTGTCAGCTACTTCTTAATCGGGACATCACAGCCTCCTGAGTCCTCAGCCCCCTGTTCCACCCACAGACCCACAGGAAAGGGAAAAACTCAGCTGGGCGTGGTGGCACACACCTGTAATCCCAGCACTCAGGAGGCTGAGGCAGGAGGATCGTTGTGAGTTTGAGGCCAGCCTGGGCTACAAAATGAG